TGTCTTGTAATGAGGAATATCTGAACAGGAAGCTACCTTGCAAATCTGATCCTTGCTAGGCTTCCAAACCTGTGTTGCATTCTTTTATGTTATTGTGGTTTAATATCCCAATAAAACATTGTTTTCTCTCTAGTTCAGTTAAACGCGCTCACGTCAGGAGCTCACGTGTCCTCCCTTTTCAACATGAGACACAGCAAAAGTTTCTATAATTAAGCCTATGCTACAAGATGAAAACTACAGCTTTCCTAAGTGGAAAAAGTGTTTTTTGTAGTACTTCCCTTAGTTACTTCAGAATTTTTAAAGTTGAAATAATTCTGTGGAATTCCATCATCTGTTATTAAAGGTACTTAAAAGCATCGTTTAATGTATTTTAGTGAATCAAGATACAACCGATTGTCAACATCTTCATCAGTACCAGAAGATCTTGAATATGATAGGGTAAGTATTCTAGAGTTTCAATACGTTATTTTTTAAATGTAAACTATTTAATGGAATCAGTTGTAATTTGCCATACCATGTAGCCCAATGAACCAGTCATTAAACTGGAAGACCATCTATATGCAAAAATTAGTAATGCATTGTGTATTGTGTTTTTATAGAACCATACGTAATCTCTCTCCGTTTCCTGACAAACTATTGCCATATCACAAACCAGTATCTTCTGTCGTTGTTTTTAAGTGACTATTTTTTTTTTTTTTAATTAGGAGGGGGACTATATGTTAGAGTTTCAAAGGAGAGGCAGGGAAGAAAAAAAGACTACTAAATAATTAGTGCTTAAATAATAGTTCGAAAAGTTACATTATGTTCACATTGCAAATAATACCTAGTTGGTCTTTATAGTACATCGTCTTCCTCACGGAGATGAGAAAACTGGATGCAAGTGTGAGGCTAGTAATAATGCCATGTGCTTTTAATATTAAAACTGGTTTGGAGTGGAAGATAATTTTTTGGCCAAACTTTTAATTGGTTCCATCCATGGTCTCTCTGGAGTCTTTGAATTCACACATCTCTATCATTTTGTGTTGCAGCTTCAGAATGAACCATGCGAGAGTTGTCCAGTGGTGGCAGCCTACATTTTAACATTTTTTATATGTATCAACTTAGTATCTAGCCTTGCCTGAGCATCAAAAGCATACTGGTGTTTGATCAGGATTGCTCTGCTATTTCTGTAGTTTTCTTCATCTTTTTTAAAACCCTAAAGCAACTTTATCATTGAAACTGTTGAATAAAAATGTGTCTTTAGCTCAATACTATTCGCTTGAAAGAAGAGGCCTTTCAAGAGACAAGATTTTTTTGGACCATACTGGAACATTCAGTGAGATGTGATCTCTGCTGTACAGTTTCATAGGAGGATTTGTAAGCCTATACAAGAAGCCTTTCTGTTAACGTAATCACAGTGGTGTTTGTAACTACCGTTTAACTGATTAACTTGGGTTAGACTCTCGCGGAACTTACCCTTGAAATTGGAGAGTCTCTGGAAATGATTTTGGAAAAAATAATCACCTTTTCTGCTCTAAAACAACCCTTTAAAAAAAATTCCTTAGAAGCCTCAATCCTGACTTCTGTTCATTGGAGATAGGATCTGGACATACTTGTATAAATTTAAGAAGCCCAAGCAATGAACGTGCAAGTAATAAAAAAAAACCAAAAAACTTAAATACTCTTTGAAGACAGACATATGAAGTACATTGTAAAAAGTATGTAGAGTATGAGGTATTTTTCTGTATGTTTCTAAATGATGATTTCAGGGCAACAAACTGCCAGCTTTTTAGCTAAGAGATTGGCTCAATAGAAACTCTTCTTAATTGTACAGATTAGAGACTATATTTTTTGTATGCTAGCTCCTAAAAACTTCCTTCTTTATTTACAGGGGTTTTGTTCTTGGATGACAGCTGCTTTTCGGATGCAGTAAGTATATGGAACAGAAATAGTGAGCCGTGGTTTGCTTTGCTCTTTTTTAATTAAAAAAGGGGGTTTGCATTAAAAAATGTTTGGTGTTTTTTTTTTTTTTCTTGAGTAGATAGAACTTAATAGTGATACAGGTGCCTCTGGTGGGGTGGAAAAAGAATATGAAAACAAGATCAGCTTATAGGAGTACTTCTTCAGGATACAGTCATCCTTCTGCTGGCAGCCCAGGGACTTCCTGATCTTGGGACAGTGTGTGAACCTGAGTGAATCTATGGCATTTATACAGATTCTGAGCTAATAACTAGGCTCTAGGGTTTTACCCTTCAAAGATTACTGTGTGGGTGTTCACTTGTTTGAAGCCAGTAGGGCCCTGGGCAGGAAACAGGGTTTCCCTGCAATGATTTCTCAGTGGAGAACTGGTGGTTTAGTTGGGGCTGGAATTGACTGACTAGGAAAAGCCCATCCCACTGTTTCCTGGAAGCTGAGCATTGGACACGTGATGTTTGTTCTTTGTATCTCCTGGGGCTTAGTAAATCATGATTTTTAAAAATCAATTTCTAGCTTGGGTACATTGAAACAAAGAAGGGGTGGGGATTGAGCCTGTCTCTCTCCATTTTTGCTAGTTCAGTTCCTTCCTTTTCCAAGAACTCCTATTTTAATGATCTGTTCTGCTGACAACGGATAGATGATGAGAGTTCATTCCAAAGACTATTAATATCTTCTGTTAATTGGATGTCATAAGAGTAAGGTGATTCTGTTGTCATCTTCCTCATGGGGAGCCTTCATGGAGATGAGTGAACACTGTCACAGTGTGATCTTAAAGTTTGAGAGCTAGGCTTAACACCTTGTCGCTGCCATAAAGCAAGAGGTCACAGCAAATGACTTTGTCCTCTTTTAGGCTGATAAAAAAAGAACTTGGATTTATAATTGCTTTGCAGATAACTTGTTTCCATCTTAAATTCCCTCATGTTAATTTTTATATGTTGATACTGCACAAGAAAAAGACACTTTTGGAACTTAAATTTATGCATGAAAGAACACAACCATGTTGAAAACAGATAGGGATTGATGGAGATGTCACTGGATAGACTGAGAAATTAGTGTATGTTCAAAAACTACCCCCCAAACCCCCAAGGATATTAAGTGGACTGACCGTGTGCTTTTCTGTCTGTGATGCAGCGATGATGAGATTCATGAGAGATGTGGTGAAGATGCCATACATTACCTTGCCTTCCAGCGTCACATCATCTGTTTGTTGATTGCTGTCAGCATTTTGTCTGTGTGTGTCATATTGCCTGTCAACCTATCGGGTGATCTACTTGGTAAGAATTTTTTTTGTATTCTGAGAAGAATTTTGTGTTTTATATAATTGCAAAAGCTTTTAGGATTTTTTTTGTTTTGGTAAACTTTATAAGGTTTGAGTGTTTGTTTGTGGGTTTTTTTCCCCCCTCAGTCTGATGTGTGTGTCATTTTGTGTGAAATTTGTATGAGAGTAGAGGGTTCTTTCAACGTCTGGCAAAAACCATTGTCAGAAACAAGGTGGCAGATCACATGCAGACATAGACAGCTAGACCTAGAAGGCTCAAGGCAGAATTAACTTGACCTATGTCCTCTTAACTGGTGTTTATCTAGGCACTCTTTATGATTTTTATTGGTGGTGATTGCCAATGGAAAATGTCTTCACAGTTGAGAAATCTTTTTCTAGTGTCCAGTCTGAATCTCTTTTGCTGCAGTTTAAGATCACTGGGGAGAATAGATTATTCTTTTCCTCTTTGCAATATCCTTTTACCTGCCTGAGGATTATCAATTCATCTGTGCTTTTTCTTCTTTTTGATAACCAGACCAGTTAATTCAGTCATTAATGAGAAATGTTTTCCATTTGCCTGATCATAAAAATCATCAGCCATCCTCTGAACTTTTTTTTTATCTAGGTAGACTGTCTCCTGTTGTTCCCTTCTGTCTTGGTTTGCAGCTCAAAACTGGACAAATCTCGCATAGACTTTGTCAGTGTTGACTAGACAAAGAATTATTTCATGTTTCTTGCAGTCTAGTCCTGATTATGTCTGCCAGTGTGACACCTACCTCTTTCCATTATTAACTCACACTCAACAAATACAGCGGGTGTGTCCTCTAGTCTGCCATTCAGGTTGCTAATAAGAATACTGGTGAACAGAACTCTGTTAAATCCCCTTTAAACATTCTTCCATTTTTGATAATGAGCCCTTATAAGCCCATTTTATACCTGGCTTTGTATCTGTCTTGTCAAGGTCATGTTTACATAGTAGTTCACTGTTGATCATCCTGGTGAATAGTGATGCAAAAAAAAAAAAAGCAATAATTCATTTGGTTTTCCCAGGAGCTCTCAAGTGGAGTACTTGCTTGTACCATACAATGTTTGTTTTTATACCACAACAATTGCATCTTATTTTGTGCACTGACCTTGCTGATCTTTGTCCCTATAATTTATTCTCTTCTCTTGTCCTTAATAATGTGGCCTAGTTTTTGTTTTCAGTTTACTCCTACCTGTGTTTTAAAGAGCCTTGTGACTTAGCCCTCATCTGTAATGGGATACGTTGTACCCATGCTTTTAGTATTGTTTCTTCGTGGAACTGCCGTCTCTGACTTCCCTTTTATGAGCTCTTTCTTAGCACTTCTCTGTTTATATGAATATCTGCTTTCTTAAAGACCATTGCTGTTCTTTTTTCCTTCTTTGCATTTCTTCTCTTTTTTTGTTCTTTCAAAGGACCCTTTATCACTTCACAGTCACTTCTCCTTCCTTGCTTTCCATCTCTCTGTTCTCAGCCAGCATCCCTAGTTTTACAGAATCAAATCCAACACAACTGGTGCCCTAGTTGCTGTCTTCACCTCCTTTGTAAAGTAGAGAGAGAGATGCCGGTGCCTTTAAAGAACTTACAGAATGTAGTTCCCTCTTCTGGTGTCGTTACTACCCGGATATTTATACCAAAATGGATTTTGTAATATGCGTCAATTTGTGTGCACTGTCCTTCTCTTACTACAATTTGATAAAAGTTGTAGTATCTTGGATACCAGTAGATGCTCTGTTAATGCAAATGGTAGATTACGGCTGGCCTTCTAAAGCAGGAGAACACAGCTTCTGTTTTCCTGCATTAGTTTTTGTGATGTTAGGAAATACAGCTGAAAAACAAATAAGAAGTTTTGGTGTCTCTCCCCTTCTGCCTGCCCTTCCACCATATGTTGATTTTGTGCATTTGCAGTTCTTTCTGTTGTGATGACTTAACTTGCAATGTGGTTTAACAGTCTATGCTAGAAGATTGTTTAGCTTTCCAGATGCACTTAGCTCTTTTTCCTTTGTGAACATGTACTCAATTATCACTCACTTGCCTTATCGTTTTTAAAAATACTTGACATTCTAGGGAAACAATGTCATATAAACTTTCTCATTGTTGACCTTAGTAAGGTTATCAGTATTGTTTTGTCAACACTGAATTAATGCAGTTTAAAAAACTGAGATAAGAAATCAGTGAAGATGGAATAAAAATGTGAAGGAAATATGTTCAAATCCCTAAACAACGTTGTTAATGGACATGAAGGGAGATTGGAGGGAGAAAGGGAACTGCTGCAAAGATCAAGTATTCAGATTTTTAAAATAATCTATTATTTCTCTTGATGGGTTGAATGTGATATAATCCTGGTTGGTTTTTTTCCAACTTTAAAATGCAATACAGTGTAAACCAGCATTGATTATGATTCTAAATCTTTTTAACAATGAACATGCTCAGCATTAAAAAGAAGTATATCAACATTTTAAAAAAGCAGAATAAAAGCTGACTTTCTGATAGTTTGCATGTGAATGTTGCACCAATTAATTATGCTACTTGTTTTTGTTCTTCTTAGATAAAGATCCCTATAGTTTTGGAAGAACAACTATAGTAAACTTACAAACTGGGTAAGTAAATCTTGCAGAGTACTTCTATGCTTATGTCTGTTTCCTGCCATAGTCTCTAAACACATGAGTTGATACTTGCAGCATGGCTCATGGGGTAGGAATTATTTATTCACGCTTCATCAATGGAAACTGGGATATGTTCTACTTCAGGCTATGCAGTTACAGTGCTGATAAGAAATCTGGAGACTCTCGCTCAGCTTTTACTTCTTACACCACATGATTCTCTTGGCTAATGACTGCACATCTAGCAATATTATTTTCAGAAATTTCCACATTAAAAGAAACCATACTTCAGAAGGAAAATAAAGCTGACAGCTTCACTAGAATGTGTAACTTGGATGATTTAAATTCTCTTACATCAGATTTATGTGTGTGCATATCTCTCCCATCCGAGATGACGGTTAAAATTAGTTCCATATGTTTTAAGAACAGTCTGTAAAATAGTTGAGATACAAAGCTGTACAATTTTTGTTTTATTACTTGATTGATCCACATCTATCCCTGCTACTGTGTCCAGTAGAGTTTCTGCCAATGCACTTTGGTTTTGTTTTTAACCATGTTATGAATCCTAGGAACTAGTGGGGATTTTTTGTTTGGTTGGGATTTTTTATCTGTAAAATAGGTTCCTGTATTTTAGGTTAATTGTAATTATTAATGCTCTTCGTAAAACTGAAGAACTGTTCACAGAACAGAACTTCCATAAGCTTTGAGGAAGGAGCTATCAGAGAGCAGAATTTACTCCCTGTATTAGGCTGTTTTCAATTTGAGTAAGGATTATGTTCGAGGAGAGTTCAGTTATGCACTCAGCACAGTAACTAATAAGGCCAATAAAAAACATTTTGGCAAATAGCATGGTGTGTGCTCTTGGTCATCGGAATGAGAAGGCGCAAGCCAAATGCTGCCTAAAAATGTCCATGTCATAGAATATCTGTTTTCTTTGTAGGTCTGTTACCCATAGAATTTTATGATAAGCAAGTAACCCTAACAACTGTCCAAGGCATCTGCGTAGGCATGACTGACTACCAGTGACTACCTTTTTTTCTTGTTTTGTGTTCGGTGAGAGGTTCTGATCTGCTTAGCATTTTGATGGCTACTTGTCTCAGTTGGACAATTAGTTCTTCCTGTTTCTCATATTCATAACATTTTGTCTGACAGCAATAATCTTCTTTGGCTGCACACGGTTTTTGCTGTTGTTTACCTGATTCTGACTGTTGTCTTCATGAGACATCACATGAAGTATGTCACATATAAAGAAGAAAACATAAAGTTTCTGTGTTGGGGTAAAAAAAAAAAACCATACAACATGTTTGCAGTGGATAATGCTAAAAAAAGCAAATTGCTAAGATGCCTCCTGCTTGCTAGAATGTGACACAGGTGCGAAGGAATTCACTGAAAGCAAAGCTCCACTGAGTGAATTGTGAAAATGGATGGAGAGAAGGGGGTTGGGGAGGGATTTGTGAAATTTTGGTGTAACCTATTACCAATGTAGAAGGTGAACATGGTGCTGTCTTGAATAGATGCAGCTCCCATCAAAATAAAAACTTCCTACATTTTTTCCCCTCTACAACACAGCTACTTGTGCTGTTTCACTGCCTTGTATTCTTGTTTTCTCTTTCATGATGTGGTTTCTCAAAACTGGAGTTGCATTTTCTTTTGCAGGTTAAGTGCACATTGTTTATAACTGGTCTTCCAAAAAATGCAAAAGAAGAGACAATACAAGGCCATTTCACGTAAGTTCCATGCTTGAGTAGTATCGTTAGGAACAGGAGATTTAAAATTGTTCTAGAAGTTTTACCTGCCCGAGCAGAAATGTTCTTTGACTTTTGCACTGTTTGAAATTCATATTATAGTATCTATCTTCTAAAAGCATATCTTATTCCTTAGGCAGAATTGAGAAAAGACTACATTTCAATAAAGTTAGTTAGCTGATCTTAAAATGAGAATCTAAGAAAGTGGCTGTGCATCCACGCTTATCATTCGTGCTCCCACATGGCCTTTACTTGGGAATAATGCTGCACAGCTCATATTAAAGTAACTTTCAGCAACTGTCTCTCTGGAAGTCTCCACTCTATGATACCTCATTCATGAGGTATGAAATGAAACGAGTGATCGAGATGTCAGTTAGACATCAGTGATGCTCTTTGAAACAGTTTCTTCGTTGTACTTTCTGTTCTTATGGTTCTCATGTACTGCTTCCTTTTCAGTGCTGCCTACCCAACCTGCACTGTGCTGGAGGTCCAGCTGTGTTATGACGTAGCCAAGCTTATTCGTCTCTTCAAAAAAAGGTGCTTGTTTTTGTAATCTACCTGAGTTTAGCGTAATTTCATGAATGCTTTGCCAGTCCTTAATCAGTATATACCAGTAGTACTAAGCTTGCACATACTAGAAATGAATTCTGCTCTTAAAGTTCTGGTCTGGACTTCAGTTAGATTCAGCTGTGTTTTAAGGTGAGTTGTGGGGTTCAGCTTGTTTCTTGTAGGTGTGATACGTTGTGTGTTGCATAAGATAAGCTTTGACTTGCTGATTATTTATTTATGTATGTATTTATTTAATTATTGTCAGGCAGTGCAATATGGAAAACCCAACTATTGAATTAATAACTCTGGGACCCTGCTTCTTTGGCCGGAGGTGCTGGTCACAGGAGAAAAAAGTGTTATCTTCTGGGCTATACATTGTTGGGTTTTTTTTCCTGGAACCTCACAACAAGTGTAGGCTGTATAATGCTATTACGGACTTGAAAATAAATTATACTAAGTAGCCAAAATAAGGTATATGAATATCTTTGGTGACTGATTAATTTGTTATCAGTCCTTGACAGAACTTTTTCTCTTGGGGATTATGTTCTTCTTAAGCTTGATGTTGATACTGTTTTCTTGCAAAATGTTATGGATGTATTTTTCTGTCCAGAAAACAGGCAGAAAAAAGCCTGACTTACTATGAACACCTGCATCAGAAGTATGGCAAGCGGGTCCAAATCAACCCTAAGCCATGTGGTCAATTCTGCTGTTGTGAAATGAGGGGATGCGAAAGGGTAAGAGATTGTGTTCATTTTTAGTTATGGCTAGGTAGATTGTTAGAAGAGTAGGGAATAGTTTTTCTGTGACATCTTGTTGAGCTTCAGAAAACTCTCTATTCATTTATTGCAGATAGCTCATCCTTCACTTTCTTGCACTGTACAGAAAAGGAATTCCCCAAAACTTTTGAAATGTAATCTTAGTGCAAAAATTAAAGTACAAGAAAAACTTCCTGTTTTATTGTTTTCCCATTGTGATGTGATTTGTAATTTGTGGAAGTAGTATGAGGAAGAGAGACTATGGTTTGTGTAAGCTGTATTTAAATGACGATATTAGCCATCTGGTACTTGGATGTAACAGTCATCAATTTCCCAACAGGAGGATGCTGTAGATTATTATACCAAAGTTAGAAATGAACTGATGGAAGAATATTCAAAAGAAGAACAAGCTGTTCATAATAACCCATTGGGAATGGCTTTTGTAACATTTCAAGAGAAATCCATGGCAACCTAGTAAGTTGTGTCTGCTGTCTTTCTGTTTGTTCTCTTTTAACTGTAATAGTACACCTGATCTCCTGTTTGTGTTGCTTGTTTGCTTATGTTGGTGGTTCTTCTTTTCTTCTGCTTCACCATCCTGTGGATTTGCTCTGCTTTGCTTTCCGGTAAGTTTTCACGTAAGTGTGCATTTAGCTTCTATGCTTCGAGTGAAGAAAATATCTAAGGGACTAAATGGCTCTGGACATTTATTGGGATAAGGAGCCTTTCTCTTCTGTGTGGGATGCAGTCCATCAGTGTAGGTTAATAGTAGGCCAGACTAATTGGCTCTTGAATACGAGTTACTGATTTCTCCATTTTCTACTGTGCGAATGAACCAAGTACCAAACTATCACAGCCTGTGCAAATTACACTGCTAGTTAGTCGTCTCAACAAAGTAGAGTCAGTGACTGACCTGGCCATAGATGATAGATACACATTGTGCATCTCTCTTACCTGTTATTGTAGATACACATGTAGGCCTAATATCAGAAGGTGTTCAGCACCTTTTACTCAGTCATTTGTTGAGAAAATGCATGTAGCCTCTCATTTTCCGTTGGCACTTTGTGAGCATCTTTTACTAACAAAAAGTGGGTAAAGGGAAGTAGAATAATATTTGTATTACAAAAATAACACATCATGCCTTTTTTTATTCTTCATAGCTTCTCTGATTTAAATGGTCTGCATTCTTTTGACCTTCGAGTCATGTTAGAGTGCCAGTCTTTCAGGCTTTTTTTCAAGGAAATCCAGGGTACAGAATTCCTTGCAAGAATTTGAGATGCTGAAGAAAGTTTTGCTTGCTGCTCTTAACTGAGTAGTGATTGTGTGATGAAATCTGCACCCCTCCTAATTTTGTAATGTTACATGCCATATTTAGAGAATCTAGTGCATGAAATAACATTTTAAGATGTGGAACTGAGAGAAGAAATAAGCACTGAAGTTCCTTCTCAAGCTGCTAATTTGTTATATACGATTTTGATGGGATAGTCTCTCCTCAGGCATGTGTTCTGAGTTGCGCTGCAGGCATCTCTCAGTTGAATTATCAAGAACTGAAAAGATTTTAGGTTTTTTAGCTTGGAATTGATGTGGTGGACTCCGTTTTCTGGAAAATTACATTAGATTACATGTGAAGCTGAGGCTACCATCAAATTAGAAAGTTATTTGGTGCCCTTAGTGGGCTCTGCTCCACAGAGCCCTGAAATAGGATGGGAGAAACAGGAAGCCAGGACTGAGGTTCATGGAGTCAGATGGTTGTAGAAGCTTGGCTAATGATGGTGATCGGTAGTATGGCTGATAGTGCTAAAGCTTGCTCTGTATGTATTTTTAAAAATCAACTGTCAAAGTATAATTAACCTTTTCAAATACTTGGCTGCTGCAAGATGCTGGCAATTTGACATCACTACTTGAATTCTGGTAAGGTAAAGATCTGGGTTTTGGGGGTTATTTTTGTTTGGTGTTAGTGTGTGTTGTTCTCTGTTTTCTTTATATTAAGAGTACAACTGAGAAACAAGCATGCTCAGGAATTTTAGAGTCTACCTGTTCAAATATAATATATACTGTTTCCATGCTAGTGTAATGGAGCTTCTCTGGAGTGGAACTTCTTTTACGCAGTAATGCACACACAGTTGTGTGTGTGTGTATATGTATGTACATATAAAATATATTTCATATATTTTTAATATATATATTCAGCATCTCTGAATATATGCCTAGCGCTTCTGTTGCTGTGTTTTGAGAAATCTTTGAAAGCATTTATTCTGGGCATGTTTAAATTTTGTTTAAATACATTGGTTGTCAATCAACTCATAATATTAGAAGATAAATTTAAGAATTGTGATTATTTTAGGAGGGGTGAAAGAGGGTAATATTTTGAATTGTGAGAATACCAGCATGATAAAAATTTTTCTGAGCATTCGTACTCAAGGCAAAATTGACTAGTTTTGATGCTAGTGTAATGAAATGAGAGTGAAGACTAATCCTTCAGTCTGTTTTGATTTGAAAACAGCTGTAATTACGTAAAGAGGTGTTTGGGGAACTGGCTTACTGTATTTTTATTTTTTCCAATGCTCTCAGGCTTTGATTTATCTTTTTATATGTTTTTAATATGAGTCACTGCTGTTGTTCGTGTTGGTAGAAGCACTGAACAGTTCAAAGCAGGACTGCTTTTTGTTTCCAACTTCGTCAGATCTCACAGACCTGTGGTAGTAACTGTTTATATGATGGTCGTTACGTGCATGATATAATGTTACATTGCTGTCTAAGTGCTATCTTGGTCTCTGGTTATTAAAAGCAAAAAAACCTTTATCACTATTCCCAGTCTTTCTCGTTACATATGCAGCATTTTCAGGTGTAAAAATTTGCAAAAATCCTCCTCTTCTTTTTCTTCCTTACAGTATCCTTAAGGACTTCAATGCCTGCAAATGTCAGAGTATTAAGTGTAAAGGAGAACCCCAGCCATCGTCCTACAGCAGGGAGCTGTGCATATCAAACTGGGAGGTTACATATGCTCCTTATCCTGAGAATATTTGTTGGTAAGATTCCTGTCTTACATCCATTTATTTATGATAATGTAGGTTTAGAATGGGGCCAGGAGGAGAGGGCTGAGTGCATTTTTCTTTAACCGTAAGCTAAGACTTTATGTAGTGTTTGGATGTGGCTGATCTGCATCTTTATCTGCATTACTGGTGTTCTTCATTGACCTTTGGTTGGGGAGGCCTCTCGGAGGCTGACTAGAGTTTTGCCACCCCAAAGTTCTGGTACCTGCAGTTCCTGTTAACTTAAAAAAAAATAAAATCAACTAATTAATGTCTGTGCCTCAGCATTTCCATTTTTTGAGGTTAATGCATATGTACTGTTGAGATCTGAGGAAAGCAACTTGGTGTTAGTGCTGAGTATTCTCCAAGTAAGGGTTGGGTTTTTTTTGAGGTGCCACATGATGAGTATAATTTGATCCACTCTGTGAACTATGGTCTGTCTTCTGACATCTTTTTATTGACCAGTAAATTTCCTTGACTTCACCCACCGCTTACAGAAGAGTGTCGGAAAACAGATAAATGCTTGTTGAATTAAACCGTTCCTGTGCTGCCTTCTGTCATGCTTATAGGCTAAAAATGACTAAACATTTTCCAACTGCTTTGCAAATAACTTAAGGTTGGGTTAATATAATCCCCTGTTCATATAACAGTAAATTTGTTGTGACATTTCCATTGCCCAAACCAAAACTTCAAGTGAGACACAAACATGCACAAGTTACTGTATGTAACTTTTTTTCCTAATGATTTTAATAGAAAATTACTTTTAAAGTGACTATGCCATCTGTTTCTAATAATTGAGAGGTTTTCTCTAGAGCTACAATTCTGCAGTTGGGAACGAAGTACAGAATCTTTAACCATAAAGCAAGCAACTATGATTCTTCGCTGTGTCTTTTGCAGCTGTGTTATTTTGAGACATGAACTAAAAAATCTCTTGCAAGCTGCTTTCAAGTAGGGTCAGTTTAATCTGCCTTTTTCATGAAAGGGTTCTTGCATGCGTGTGCTTCATTTCCTCTTCCTTTCTTCAAGCACTGTCTTATGGGCACAGGAAACGATCGTTGAAACTTGGTGGGTTGAAGCACTTACAAAGCTTTTCTGAACATCTCTGGGAGGGGAAGATGGTGGGGTTTTGTTGTTTTGGTTTTTTTCTCTTCTTTTTCTTTTCTCCTCTCCCCCTTGAAGAAGTTGGAGGCACAGGGATTTGCCAAGTTACTTACCTAGGTTCACAAAAAGAGTTGTTGTAACTGGGCATGTTACTGAACCTCTGTATCTCTGTTTTGTCTGTTCTAAATACTTGGCTTTGGCTGGAGCTCAAATGATTCCAGTCCTTTTGGGAATCATTTCAGATAACATCTAAGAACTTTACCTGTTTAAGACCTACGGTTGCTGTTTTAATATGGCAGGAAGGGATGCAGGGTTTTTTAATTTATTTTTTTTTAAATCACAGTATCTTGGTAGATTCTGCTTCTGACAGCTATTCTCCTTGCAGAAGTTCTTTGTACCTTCTTCTATCTCGTGTCTCTTCTTGTTCTGACTTTGTTTGGTGCTTCGGTATTATTAAACAGTAGAAGTGTTTCATCCCAAACCTTAACTACATTAGACATTGTGTTTGTGTTATGAAAGGCTAAATATGTTCTTCTGCAAGCGCAATTTGTGTTATCGTTCAAGAAAGGTTGCACAGTTTTCTTTATTTCTAATAGCAACTGGAACTTGTGCAGTGCTTTGTTATATAACTTTGAGACTATGAAAGCTCGGTTTAGAAAAAGCAGTGCCACCTGTAACTTGACAGATAGTATATATATATTTTTTTAACAGCAAATGCTTACTGCTTGTTTTTGTCCTTTTTGTTTTTATTTTTTTTCTCAGGAAAAATCTTTCAGTGCGTGGACTGAAATGGTGGTTTAGATGGGCTTGCATTAATTTGCTTCTTTTTATTGTGCTGTTTTTCCTTACTACTCCTTCCATAATCATCTCAACCATGGACAAGTTCAATGTCACTAAACCTATTCACTACCTTAATGTGAGTATCACCATATGTTTGGATATAGCTGTGTATCAGACCAAAATGTTGATAAACTGATAGGTGTACAGTAAGACAATGAAACAATGTGTATAAGCTAAATTCAATTGGAATTCTCAGGATTGTTTTACATAACTGCTGATTAAAAAGCATGCATCCAGAATCAGGTCTTTAGTCCTCTTGTGTTCCTTGATAGTAGCCTGAAGTAATTTCATCTGAAACTTTATATTATGATAAATGTCTTATTTGTTTGCAGTAAAAATTTGCATTCCAAATTTACATAATTCTAAATTTTGTAATCAAACACCTTTGCCAAAAATGGAATTTCAAGTCCAACTTGTATTTTTATTTTTATGATGAGAAGGGGGGAATTCAGATTTTAAACTCTGAAGTAAGATGCCATGGTTTTATTTTGCTTATTGGATTCAAAACAGGATGGCATATAAATCTGGTCCTAGTTTGACTGCAGCTAAAGTCTCTTGCAAACTGTTCATTTTAAATACTTTCCCAAGCTAGTGTAAACTACATAAAAACTGCTTGTGAGACCTCACTCTCATGGAATTTAATTTCCAATCCTACTCTTGTTTTTTGTCTTGCACACCAGTGCTGAGCACTCACTCATTTTAAGACTTTATCTGAATATAATTTCCACAAGTCCAACCTGCTATAATTTACAAAAAAGCAAATATTGCAGCCTCTGTTCTACCACAGCTGCATTAAAATGTTTTTAATACTTATTCTTACTTTTTTTTTTTCCCCCTACTAGAATCCCATCGTCAGTCAGTTTTTCCCAACGCTCTTGCTCTGGTCCTTCTCAGCTTTGCTACCAACAATTGTCTATTACTCAACTTTGCTGGAGTCCCACTGGACAAAGTAAGCAAGATTTTCCTCTCTTTTGGCCTTATCAGCTGAATTACTAAAATAAATGGAGAAAATGCTTGTCTTTCATGGAGCTCTTAAATCTGCAGACCTCTTGTAGCAGGGAATGTCATGTTTTTGTCTCTTTCTAATGTTATAACCAATACTTGGGAGTTTAAGTAGTTTGTAATCAGTGCAGCAAGTGTAATCTCACTACACGATATCCTTATGCTTCCCTGCGTCTTTGCGTTTAGTCAGAAAAAACCGTATAAGCAGGGTCAGGGCGTGTAGCTTCAATAGGAGCACGGGAAGTGCCTCTGGTCCCGTAACTAGCTCTCTTTCTGGGAAGATAGGAGGTGTGGGTTTGGATCACCTCCAGGCTGAGAACACCACAGAACCCCAGAATCCCACTTCAACAGAAAGTGCTCCAACTGCTGACATGCTACTTAGAAAAAGGGCATCCATCTTTTTGTTGTTTTGTGTGGAAAAAAATGGTCTGCATGTAACTCTTGGTGCACAACTCAGTGCTGTGCACACATCAGCTGTTTGATATTGTTAGTAGCGATCTAAGAAGACCTATGGGACTAAGGCCCAGCAGATGTGTTGATGCAAGATTTTCAGATACGACCGGTGCACTCCAGAGATGTCAAGCACAGTGACGTGCTGCTAACGTGGAGAACTCAGCACAGCTTGGTTTGGCATACCAGATTTCATCTCCAGTTTACCTACAGTCAGATAAAAGCATGTTACTGCACACTGAATCCCAGCTTCACTCAACTTCACTCAATCTTTTTCCATAATGCCTGCAGCCATTTTTTGTTTGTTTTTATATTCTAAGGTCAATTTTTTTGACTCTTTAATTTTTTGTACCATTCCATTGTAAGACATCATGTCCAGAATTTACTATTTATTGACCGAAGTTGTATGCTTTGCATCAACTTTTTTTTTTGGTAGTTACACTAGGCACATGAACTTTGAGCCCTTCTCAGTCAGTTGAAATAGTTTTCTAAAGTCACTAGTGATCACAGATCTGATTTCAAGCCTTGGTATAGTTATACTGATATGTCTCACAGTGCCCAAGGGCTACATGATCCTGTAATAAAACCCCTGAGGTTTTAATGCCCTATCAGATACCACCTTTAACAGTCTGAATTGTTTATAGCAATCGCTGCGCTTTTCTGGCAACAGTGTGTCACTAGATAGATGTTCCTTCTACCGTAGTACGGGTATAGCATTAGTAGTGTCATGTTGTTCCCAAAGACTTGACACTTGGCAAGGACAGTCAAGTAGCTTGTCGAAGTGTCTGGTTTCTTGGCAGTGGTGCCCTTTTACGAACTGCCTAATCCCTCTTGGCATAACACTTGAAGAGCTGTTTGTTTACAAGCTGTTGCGAGATGTGAGTATCATTGGATGAGAGACCAGCTGTGATTGTCGCACGTCCCCTTGCTTGTGGTGCAGTCCTGTAGTGATGCTAATCCAGAGCGTGGATTAATGTTCAGAAGTGTTTTCTTTGCCAAAAAAAATACTGAGAGCCTGCTTGGTCCAAATTAGTGAATATCTCAAAGATGTTTGTTTTGTGAATATCTTGTAGCAATGTGATACGGTAAGGGGAAGCTGAAAGTCTGACAGGTGCTGACATTTTCTGGGTAAGATTCTTTGTGTGTGGAAGTCTTTCATATGAGTTTCTTACTCGGTGACTTTTTATGTTGGTAGATCTGCAGAGAACAGGATAATGATGCATAAAGTCTACATATTTTTGATCTTCATGGTATTGATTCTGCCCTCCCTTGGTCTGACCAGGTAAAGAATCATAGTTTAACGCAGTAATGTTTGAGTATTTTTATCATATGAGACAACTTACTTTGTTTTCTGGTTGCTAGTTGAAGTATAGTTGATGTACCCCCACTCCCTCCAGCGTGTATGGTTATATTATCATTATGCATTAGATTTCAATGTTCAACATTCGTCTGAGGACCTCATAGCCCTTAAAGTTTCCAAAGGCTGACTTTTCTTTTAGCAAAGAAATTTAAGACCTTGTAAGATCAATGACTAATTGAAAGTTGCCCATACTCACCATCATAGCTGAGAACCCAGTTTTCTGACTGTCTTATACTTGAGTTATAGTTGTCCTTTTCTTTCCACCTTTACAGTATTTGACTGTTTCCCTGGCTAACTGGGTAACATGTATTTGTCTTATCTATATAATAACTGCTAAAAATGAATCATTAAAACTTTAGTATGAGTAGACACTTCTGTTTTGTTTGATTCTGTATCTTTTTTCCTGTTTATCAGTAACTGTGATAAAGCTAAAGTAGTGTCCAGATTATTTGATTAAATTCTCTCTATCCACTATCCTGATCTGAACTACTTAGAAAAGAGAAGCAATTTTACACAGTACTAAGCTATTGGAGACTGAATTACATTAAACATCTTTCTTTCAGCCTTGATTTTTTTTTCCGTTGGCTGTTTGACAGAGAATCGTCTGATTCTGCAGTTAGGCTGGAGTAAGTATTAGCAACTCTTTGCTAAAGGAATACTTAGGACTTCTTTTTTTTTGCTGTTGACTAATCTTGGTTAGTGTTTATTAAAATTTGCTCGGGGATGGTATGCTGTGGGATGATGTTGAATAAGGGGAGGAGAATGTAAGTGATTTTGCTATGAAGAAATCCATACTTTTTTCCTGCTAGCTAATGTACACAAACATTCAATAGAGACAGTTATTTTCCCCAAACCTTACAAATTCTGTAGAAGACAAGAAAGGACAGGATGATATGATGCAGGTGAGAGGGGACCAGAAAATGTACTGAGGATTGTTGCCTATCATGGACAGGGGATCTTCCCAAGGATTACAGTGAGACCAAATAGCTGCAGCAGTTCTTCTGAAATCCATTGACTCTTGATTTTTAGAAACATGAACGTTTTTACACTAGTATTGCAGATTTGCAGATGTTGCTTATTGTAAGCTCTTGTGAACTGTGGCTGGAGGGAAAAAGTAGAATGCAATTATTAGGACATAGTTAGGTTTCCAAATGCTGTTTCAAAATCAGTAACAAGAAGACAATTAGGAGTTACTAAGCTAGGAGAGACAATTATTCTATTGCAGTCTTATCTCATCTTGTCTCGGGTTGCTGTTGCAGACGTCAAATGATGCTCTTGTCTGCTATCAGCCACCCATCAGACTGCTGTGTCTTTTCATGAACAGTTTATTCCTCATCCGAACTGCAGCTCAGCCAGGCTCTTACAGTATACTACACTTACTGCATTTATAGCTATGTAGTACTCTTTTTCAACAAGATTATCGGAAGTCTTCTAGCCACTTCTTATGGTGTCCAGTGCTTTATCCTTATGGTAAGAGATTTCCAAAGGCGATAGGGATCCGTTGTATATATGCTATATTTGCTTGTCCAGTCAGCGTCTGATATCTTTCCTTGCAGATGTGTCTTTTTGCCTGACCAGGGGGCCTTCTTTGTGAACTATGTGATTGCCTCTGCTTTCATTGGCAATGGGATGGAGCTGCTGCGCCTGCCTGGCCTCATCCTTTACACCATACGCATGATAATGGCCAAGTCCACAGCAGAAAGGAAAAACATTAAACAGGTATTAGAGCCCCTCCTTAGCAAGAGGCAATTAAATGACTGATCCTTATCAGAAACAGTGGGAGCCCCCATCCTTCATACCATTAATTATCATCTCCTGTCATTTTTGTTTTGGCCTTTGTTTCACTCACCCATGACAAGTTCATATTCCCTTCATTTGCAGCACAGATAATGGGGAGGTATTTATTCAAGTCAGAGATGGTCAAAAATCAAAACCCAAGCTCTGAACTTTAGGTATTATTCTCTTCATAGCTCCAAGTCAGAGCTTTATGATTTGGATTTTATAGGATAATTCTGATTTTATCTTATACTCTAAACTTTGGGTTTTTTTAAATTCAAATCTGTCTATAGCTAGTTTTTTCTCTCAGCCTGCGGGTGTGCACAACTTACTTTAATCTGAACATACACCTAGCAAAACATACACTTATTGTCTGTATTCCATTTTAAATGGTAGACTTTCACTTCCAGATGATGTGTCGTCTTGCAGCTTGAAATTCCAGGTGTTACAATGGGAACTTAAGCCTGTATACAGCTGCCCCATTCTTTGTCTCTTTTCTTTTTTTTTCCTCTTGTTTTCTTTTTTATGGGTAGGTGGGTTCCATTTTTAAAAAATTCTTTTAAACATTCACTTCTGTTAACTGTTGCATATTACCCCTTGCTCTGGTTGAAATGGTTTATATTGATTTCCTCATCCCAAGAGGAAAAAGTGAGAATACTGACCACACCAAAGCTTTGATATCTTGAGCTTTCCCTATTGGGAAAGCCAACGCAAGGAACAGTACAGATTCAGTAGAATCTGCAGTGATATGAAGGTTCTGAGTTTGGCACGATTATTTTCTGCCTTGTGGTTTTAAGTAGTTGCTTCTTGTAGATGAAGACAGATTCCCTGAGGAATTACTTTAAGGCTATGAAAGAAGCAGCATATTTTCTCTAAGTACAGATGCTTAAAACACATAATACTCCATCTCTCTAATTACATCATTTATGCCTCTTAGGGAAATAACTGATCTGTCACAGGGAGAGAATAAGAGAAGGTGAATTGTTGCTTTAGTGAATCTATTCTTAATTCCTGACACGTTGATAGATGACATGAGAATTTTGGGTGTTTTGTTTTTGTTCCTAGCAACAAGCATTTGAATATGAATTTGGAGCAATGTATGCCTGGATGTTGTGTGTGTTCACTGTCATCATGGCCTATAGCATTACGTGTCCCATCATTGTCCCTTTTGGTAAGTTTTCTGATGAGTTGTGGGCACTGTGTGAGCAAGATGGGCTCATGTGGGAGGCTTGGAAGGCCCAGTTCTGCATTCTTACTCCAGTCCAAATGCTGATAATCCTTAGGACTTGGATCCAAGTTTCCTTCCCTTCTTGTGGAAAAACAGGGCAGAAGATGGTGAATTATTTAGCTCTTGTACTGCCTTTAGAAGTTGAAAGTATATTTAATGTCTGTTAGATACTTATTTTATTTCTCAAGTTTGAGTGTAGTAGCTCTGGTGGTGGTTTTTAATAGTTAAGTGTAGGAGTTTAGGTAGGTTTGGGGATGAGGGGATTATTTTTATCTCTGGGTTCTTGAGGTCTGGGAGAAACAAGCTGCAGAGGGTACCCAGCCTGGAGGTCCACTTTAAGGAGCCAAACTTGACTTGAGACATTTGGCACATTTGAAATAACTTTTGTCCTAAAGTTTGACTGATGTGTGTAAAATGAAGCACAAAAATATGCATGTTAATCCAGTAGCAAGAGACTGGAAAACTACCTGTCCTTTCGCTACTGCAGCTCTTCTGCATCGCAAACCATTAATCTAAAATTCCACATCCTGAAGAGAATGAGAAAAAGGGCTGTGGTCACCACTGTGCTATGGACAGCTGTGCGCTCCATGGTCCTGACCCCAGGGATGTGACCCAACGATGTGCTGACTGCTTTGCTGGGACATGGTCTTGGTGAACACCATAGCTGCCCTTTGACCGGAAAAGGCAATGCTGCATACTTTGGTAGATTTGCTGGCTTAGAAAACCAGTCAACAAGGAGTTCAGGGCATGTGGGTGGAGCACAGCTGCTCTGTGGTGTAGATGGAGCTGCAGTCCTACAGGACCCTGAGAAGGTCTCCAGATCTTTTGAGTCGCAGACCTCCTTTTTCTAGGATGTTTCCCTTATACAGTTAGTTTATCTCTGTCCCATGAACAAAACTTAACATTTCTGCTTTAAGTTGCCTATATATCTGGCTCTGACTACTTTCGTCTTCCTGTACCAGCCATTAAATCCTGTATGGGTGCACAAGAAACTTAGCAATCTGTCTAGAACTCATGGACAGTTGTCCATCTTTAGTGACTGTGACATGATCTACATCTTATTTTATTGCATCTTTCATTCACAGATATTCTGGACTGTCATAAGAATTATGCATAAAAATATCATTTCAGCAACTACAGATATTTCCACTCTGGAAACCTGTTTATCAGGCATAAGTAGTACTAAATCATTTTATACAGTTATTTTCCTTTTCTAATCCAAAATTTTAGAGAGCTAGATACAACAAAATTAGTTAAATTAGACATTGTTCAGAACTGGTTTTAATCAATAACCTTATTATTGGGAGAATGTGGCCAATTTTTTTGTAACAATGTACTTGATATTTATTTACATTTCATTTTGTGTGCAGTTGTAAATATGTGAATGTGCTACTGCGTACGAGAGCTGTTGCAATTCATAGCTGTCACAGCAGTAACTGGCACTTTTGGGATAAGAAATAGCTGACTTGAAATCCAGTCATGAATATGTTGAAGGCTGAGAGGTCTAACGTTAAGCTACTGTTAGACCTTTTTTCCTTACCAGTACGGTGCTGGAGGAGTTAGCAAGTCTTCCCTACTGGCTTGGCCTCATGTGCAGGCACTAGGAAGGAGCTCTGGGTTCACCCTGGGAGCACGAGTGGTGCCACAGAGAAGTGTGCGGAGAGGGGGAGGGATGGGGAGACCCCAGGGGTCTTGGGCTGGGGATGCAACAACCTTAGGAGCAGGCTGCTGTCATGCAGCTGTACCCTATTCATATTTGGGCTGTATCCACCATTGGTATCTAGATTTTTCAGTCACCTGGTTAGTGTAGATCTCCTCACAGAATTGCTGCTTTTTATCAAGTCTTCAACAACCTCTCCTTGGTTCTCCCTTTTTTCCTTCCAGGTTTAATATATATACTCCTGAAGCACATGGTTGACCGTTATAACCTTTACTATGCATATCTCCCTGCCAAGCTGGAGAAGAAGATGCACTTTGCAGCTGTGAATCAGGCCCTTGCAGCTCCAATTCTCTGCCTTTTCTGGCTCTATTTTTTCTCATTTTTGCGGCTAGGTAAGTTTGTTTTTTTTTCTTTTTCCACTGAGAAGCTACTCCTACCTCTCTTGCCAACTTACCTAAATTACATGTGAAGTTTCATAGATTTTGAGCTTTTCTTTTCGCTTCCATAAATGGGAAGTCATGGTGATTGCCTGTGGCACTGAATTATACAGCATTTGCAGCTCACACAAGTTTGCATAAGATACTCTGACGGAGATGGCCGATATGTTAACTTAAAACTGTTAGCGTGGAGCTTCATATTTCTTCATTTTACAGACGATCATGTGTTCCCTAAATCTGTAGAGTTTGAATTGGCCAGTTGGGCTGTGGAGTGACAGACAGTAAAAATCATTAAATAAAACAAAAATCTCTTCAGAATTAGCTCTTTCTAGTAAGATGGTCTCCGGCTTCACTACCTGCATTTGTGTAGTCTGTGCATAAGTTTAATTTGCCTGGGTGAATTGGCTGCTGCCTCTGTTGTACAGCTGTCATTTAGAAAAAAAACTGTTAAAATGTTGGCTAATGCTAGTAAGACCTGTGTTCTACGTCATCTGTCAAACTTTACATGCAAGACTGCAGTGAGACAGTGACTCTCCTTCCCATATTGTAATTTAAAAATTCATGTTTTGTGTGTAATTTATTTTAAAAATAGCGATGTTCTGTATTTTGCAAATACTTGGCATTGATAGTATTGGCTGTGGTGTACTAACAGCTTTGACATCAGAAAAAGTAGGTGATAGCTTATGGCTTTTAATCTGTGATATAGGAGGAAGCGTTTGGCATGGAACAGGGATGCTGGTGATGCCGGAAGGAGTTGAGCTTCCCTTCTTGGGAAGGAGGCCCTTGGTATCTAACTGTATGTTGCACTCTTCTCTGCTTTCACAGCACTGATGACAAATGACTATGCTTGTGTTGTATTTTTCTAGCATACCAGTAGTAAAAAAGGTATTGTTGGGAGACTGTCATCTAACTTCAGAGTTAGCTCCCTGTGGATGTAAGAGGCACTCGGAACTATTGGTTCGGGCTGTCCTTGGATTTGAGCAGATGTCTCTGCATTACTTGTATGTTTGAGAGCTTGGTTTTTTCCCCTTGTTTTGAGAGCTGTCTTTGCAACCAGGAAGACCAACAAGTCTGTGTCCTCTAAAATAACAGCATAACTTCTAGAGCATGCTTTACAAGAATCAACTCCAAACACACAGCAATTGATGCCCCTCTTTAATTGTTATGAAGGAAATCCTGGTGTAGTAAAAATTAAATCTTTATTATAAAGTTTTCTGGTTCTGCATCTGTGGTAAAACCATCACTTGTCATGGAACTTAGTAGTGGAAAACACAGACCGGACTACCATGTTTGGCTTGGTCAGTATAGAGGATCCTGTTTACAGGATGTTGTTCAGTGATTTGTCAGTGCAGAGGGCAGTCTAGCCAAGTGGTATGAGTCTGAGAGGTAGGAACTTGAGATTTTGATTTCATTGCCATTGATTTCATTGCCGCTTCTTGTGCCAAAGAGAAGGAAGGAGGGGGAAGAGTGCTCTGCTTCCTTATCTGCAAAATAAATCAGTCTGTGGTGTGTAAAGCTTGATTGCTTAGTCATTGATTTGTATAGTTTGCCTGGTAAGGATATTTCAGTCTGGTTGCAGAGTACAGTGATAGAATTCTGTTTTGCCACTCATTATATTAAAGTAAGGCTGGAAGGACTTCTGTCCCAGTTCTCAGTCAGGATCAAATATCACTTGACTGCATACAGAAGGTGATAGGCTGTACTGGTTTCTTCTGTTTCCTCCTCAGTCATTGTTTTCTTCCTCGGCTCTTATGCCATCCATCCATTATACACCAAAAGCACCACTGGGCCTCTCACAACAGAGAAGGCGATGGTACTATCTGCAGTTCAAGCCCTGTCTCCTGGGATTACCTAAGTCCCATGTTCTCTAGAGCTGTTGGCAGGGAGGAGTGCTGAGGACACAGGGCAGGAAAAACTGGTCTTTGGAGATTTCTTTTTCCCTGATCTCTGCTGTTTTGCCTTGTGGTTCACACCATACATTGGCTTTGGTGTAGATATGCCTCACCAGCTGGTAAATACTGATGTAACCTCCACTTACAAAAACAACCTCTTCTAAAGGATGTTCCAGAATACCCATAGGGAGGTTTTTTCACTTCCCTTTTTGGTTTGAACAGTGACACATTTGTGGGGATTTTTTGGAGAGTGTGTTGTTTTTTCCCCCCTCTCATGAACAGATCTGCACAGGGCTTATATAACCTGCTAAAAAGTGAAACTCGTCTGTTCTATGCCACTCCATATGCTGGGGTTACCACAAAAATATTTGAGGGTTGATGTTGCCTCTTTTGACTGAAGAAGCTTGGAAACAGCTAGGTTTGGGGTTTGGTTTTTTTTTCCTAATATCTTATTTATGTCATTTTTGCTGCAAAATGAGATTAATTTCTTCAGAATATTTCCCCAGGGGACCTGAAGAATAGTAAGTCACTGTAATCATTATAACTTTTCCCATACTAGAGGCTGCTACCATGTTTTTTCCTATAGTTCTCTCAATCTATCTCTCTCAAGAAAAACTTACCTTTTAGCTGTGTTCATGTTTACTCAGTTTCTTTTCTTGTTCCTTTTCCTTGGATTCCTCCCAGTTCTGTCCATATTTTGTCATGGTGTCCTACACAGACCAAGGCTGCTCAAGTTGAAAGTTCAGTAGCACCAAATGTTTTTTGTATAGGTACCAGAGACTTACCTTTTTTTTTTCTTCCCATGTTTTGTGATAGCATCACACTATTGACTGCTTTCCAGCTTGTAATCATCAGTTGTATTCTGCAGTGCTACATGCTTGTTATCCCTCATACTACATTTCATTTTTCCTTCCAAGTTGTAATTATTTACAACTTCTACATACAATTTCATCTTACTGTTTATTTTTGGTTTGGTTTTTTTTCCTTGAAAGAGGGTGGGGTCATCTAATTTATCAAGGTAACTTTGATATTTTTTTTTTCCCTCTATTACTTTTTTTCCTTTGGGTTGTTGCAAGCCATCTAGTTTGGTGTCTTCATCATATTTAATAAATGGACTCTACCTATTACATTTCACAGATCATTAATGAAAGCATTTTAGAAGTGGGTCCAGAATAGATGGCTGAGGGAGGAGGAGAAGAATCGCTCTGAGTCTTGTTTTTAATTCCCGTATTGCAGCCGCCTTTCTTGGCCTTTAAGGAAACTGGGGAAACAGTTTGCTCAGCAATTTTACCAGTCAACAAGCTTTGTGCATAATGAGGTTCTCCTGTTTGTGGCTGGAAGTGGTGTGTCCAGTCCTCTAAGGAAATAAAAACACGAGGCTTCTGAAAATGGGGAAGATAAAGTAAAGGTTTGTTTGGTTTGTTCTGTTTTTCCTGCTATGTATTTTTATATTGTATTCTCTGGATATTTTTCTAGGCTTTAAAGCACCTACAACCATGTTTACCTTCCTAGTTGTCAACATCACAATTGTTATTTGCTTGGCTTATACTTGTTTTGGCTGTTTCAAGTACCTGAGCCCGCTGAACTATAAGGTAAGTGATGGATACCTAACAGCTTTCAGCACCTACCTATGTGCTTGACGTAGCACCAGCTATTCCTACTGGGTTGTTTGTGCCTTCTCGCTAGCAACGTCTGTCCAAAAAGGTTCATTCCGGTAAGATGGCTAAAGAGGGCTGATCGTAGAGGTAGGCTGCTCGGCACAGTGGAAAGTCTGTCCATGTTACAGGAGCTGAATTTGAGAGGAAAGAGCAGTATGGAAGAAGTATGCAAGAAGATTGGAGGAGAGAGTACCAGTACTGCGCAGAGAGATCTCTGTGCAGGTTTTCGGGCACTTACGATCTCTGTATATTGTTTTGACTTACCAATTTGATATTGTCTCTCTTCCTTTCCCCACCTGTTACTGGTTACAGGTAGAAGACATGCAAGGTGAAAGAGGAAATGACACAGATGTACCAACCATCCCAACATCTTCTGTAAGAAGTTAAGAGTTACTAATATTCTCTTACGTTTCCTAGAAAAACTTAATTTCTCACCCTGCTTACCAAAGAGCTTGTGTAGGACATATTAGTCTGAATGGACTGTGGGACTTCCCGTATGTGTGTGGGACCAGAGAGTTCTGCAGGTGGGCTCCTTGACTGTTCCCAGGTGGTGTTCCAGAAGTACCTTCGGCTGACGTTTTAGGAGTAGTTGAGACACGCTACTTCAGCAGCTCTGTACGGTGTGTTCTGGGCCTTACACCAGACAGATCCTCACATCTGGACAGCTGCCAAATGCAGTCAGTTACCACTGCTTTGTGACTCTCAAAGTTGTGACATGTGTAGCAGGTCTTACCTGCCACGTCACTTAAAAGGATGTAGGACTGAGGTAGAAATAGAGGTCTTTGTGCCACAGTCTACAAGTACAGGTGAGTGTTGCACCAGGAAGCCTGCGTTAGGGTGCAAAAGGCCTTAGGTGTTAAGGTGAAGAATGGGAAATGGATGAAAAGAAGAGTGGCGAGGGGAAAAATTATCCTGGGTGAATTATCCCAACGTTATACTTTGAGAGACTAGTAAAATCCTTAACGCTTGTGATTTCAGATGTACGTCCCCCGAGTTTTGCACCCTCATTCTACAGAAAGGACGATGCTTGCCCATAAGGAGCAGCAATCATATGGCACCATGGACAACACTAGTTCACAGGCAGAAGAAATCATGAGCTATTCTGCTGGACCTGCAATTATTGAGCAGGCATCGAGAGGTTCGCTTTGAATGCCAAGGACTAACACAAGGTGGAGCACTTGGTCCAGGTTTAGGAGAGCTAACTCCCCACCACCACCTACTAAGTATTCTGTTTTATTTACATATTCCTGCCTACAGAAGAGGTACAGAAATAATGCATTGTGTGGTCTGCAGCTGTGCTTGGAGATTAAAAAGCAGATGCCTTGGGACTGATTGTTTTCCAGGCTGTCTACATACATTGTGAAACAAACACGTTGAGCACAGAGATGCTGATCCTCAGGGACTTCACTTACGCTATCTCATCACTTGCCTTATGAAGATAACTTATGCTGCATATAGATAACTGGTCACCAAAGTAAATGCAGCTATTACAGCTGTCATTTATTTATTCAAAATAATTCTTGCTTTTTTTAAAAATAATTTAAAAAAACCCTTTAGTATTTATAAACCTCTTGGGATGTGTTAAATCCTGAGGCAATGTCACTTTTGATAAAAATGCTGTTTGCATGGGCGCTGAGGATGGTGTATGGGAGTCTCTCCTCTTGTCACCCAAAGTAGTCAGTGTAGACTTGACCATGTTACTTTTTTTCCTTTAAAAGAGATGAGGGAGTTACTGTGCACTTGGGTACTAAAAGTACCAAAGCAAAAAGACTGGTGTAAAGGAGGGAGTGATTTATCTGATACTGTTTTTATATATTTTTTGGAGGGCGTTTAGGCTGTTAGTTTCTGTTCACTATTTTTAAGGGCCTTCCACAATGAAAGTTCACCTGCCAACAATAAAGGATGTAAACATTTTATCTTTCTTTTAATCTTGGGTCAAAATGACAGATCTCTGGGTTTTCTCTATAGTGCCAATTACGTGAGCTGTAAGATACTAAATTTTTAAATTATGTAGTAGGTGCTAATTTATTCCAAAGTACATTGTGTCAAAGCGTAACTAATAATCACGAAGCAATAAAACACCGAGTTCAGAGAAATTTCAGGCTGTCTTGACTGATTTATTTTTTTCTTTGTGTATTGAAACAGTTCTCTTGCTAGCTGCCTCACAGCACGATCAGCGTCGTGAACTGTTCATAAGAGCGCTGTCATGAGGCTTAGAATGACTGTATGTCCCATGAGAGATTTGAATGCTTTTAAATTTCTGTAGGGGACGAATCTTGGTGACCTTTGGGTAGGAGAAGGTTTTGGCCCTCCCAAGCCCTCTGTTTGCCTCTCATTGTTAAACTGTTAGTTCCTGAACTTGACCTTTTCTAGCATGTCTGTGAAGCAGCAACATCTTGAGATTGGAGTAGAATTTGTGCCATAAATAAGTGTGTGCAGATGTTCAGTGTCTTGCAGGACTGCTTCCAGCTTCCCCAGAGCAGCACTCTGGACAAACGCTGAGCAGGAGACCTGCCCTGCTGCAAGAAGGACCCTGCAGAGCTCCGATAACCCTGATGACAAGCCCATCCTGTTAGTTGAAAGTACACCTAACTCCTGGTTCTTAAAAGGCAAGTGAGGAGCCTTGTCTAGTGGGGGGGCATGGATTTGCGTCAGACTTCTTTATCACTTCAGTGTTGCAGTTTAGTCAGGGGGGTTGGGGGGGGGGGGCATTGTTTTTAGCAATTGCGGTGCATTGATTTTAGCAATTGCGGTATTACTAGAGGTGGTATGTACACTGAATATTGTGGGGTTTTTTAGCGATCGTGGTATTACTAGAGGTAGTGTGTACCCTGGTACAAACTGCCATTTAAGATTGTTATTCAAACCAAGAAAAAAGAAAACCAACAGACTCCACATTTTTTACTTGTCTCCGAGTCTCTCATACAGATGTGAGGACAGAAGGAGGAGACAGAGCCTGTTGTATTAATTAGATCAAAGTCTGTGATTGTTCTAGCTCACTTCTAGCTGCAGTACCCCATCTCATACAGGTGTCACAGAAGCAGCGGACGCTTATGTGTATGCTAATTGAGGAATCAAATAAATGATTCAGCTACCACACTTGACCTGTTTACAGTGCTGGCACTGCGGGATTTTTATGCTCTGTGGTATAACTTACTTTTTTGGACAAGTGACTTCTGATATTCACTGTGAGGTTTTATACGTCATATCAAGGACAAAAACTCTTTTGGTGATTGGATTTC